AAGTCAGAACTGGCGTCCAGATTCAGCCACTGTTGAAACTGATCAGTTTCAGCAGCGGCTGAATCTGGACGCCAGTTCCGACTTACATACAGATTCAACTTAAGAACAAACCTACAGTCCCTATCTTGTACGTAACCCGGGGACTGCCTGTATACCATTCACTTTTTGTTTTAGAGGCTCAGTCTGTACTTCATTAATTTTTCACTTAAGCATGAACTTTTTCATCTGTGTTACGTAACTAGATTTTTCAAACAGCGGCTGAATCTGGACGCCAGTTCCGACTTACATACAGATTCAACTTAAGAACAAACCTACAGTCCCTATCTTGTACGTAACCCGGGGACTGCCTGTATACCATTCACTTTTTGTTTTAGAGGCTCAGTCTGTACTTCATTAATTTTTCACTTAAGCATGAACTTTTTCATCTGTGTTACGTAACTAGATTTTTCAAAGCACAGTCTGACTTATCTGACTATTAATAGATTTGTCTGATGATTTTGTGATCCTTGCTATTTATTTTTTACAGAATTACTATTACAATTCAAAAATAGTAAAAATAAGTTTAAAAAAATCAGTCTCTTTCAAAGTGACAGTCGGAGGGAAAAATGGTTTAATACAGGGGTCGGCAACCTTTTCAAACCAAAGAGCCAAACCACATCAAAATTCAGAACAAGTGGTCCACAAAGAGCTGTATAAGAATGCCCATTTGCGTGACTGAAAATATACAACTTATTATTGATAATCAACATCATGATTAACAACAGCATAAATGAAACACTGTACTCGCAGACTTTATTTAATGGGACTTCCGTTGCTGCATCATTTGCTCATTTCTTTGAAACTTACATTATAACTGGTCAAATCCAGATTTATGCAGTCTTCTGTCAATCTTATGGCAGGAGCTAGGGATGTGAGGATGCAGGAGTTTGGGTTGGGATGTTTGAGGGGCTCAGGGCAGGGGGTTTGTGTGTATGATGGGCTTAGGGCACAGGTTTGGGGTGTGTGGGTGGTGCAGGAGCGTTACAGCAGGGGACTTGGGATGTGGGGTTCCAGGATGCTGGGCTGGGGTGCATGGGGGCTCAGGGTGTATGGGTGGTGCAGGAGCGTTACGGCAAGGGACTGGTGATGCGGGGGTCAAGAGTTTGGGGATGTGGGGGTATGAGGGACTCAGGGTGGGGGGGTAAGGTGTATGATGGTCTCAAGTTGGGGTACAGGTGCGTACTGGAGTGTTATGATGCTGCAGTCAGAAGGGTGCTGGGCTCCAATTGGGGGCTTGTTGGCCAGGCTTAATTTGTAAATAAAGTAAAATATTATGTCCAACACAAAAAGTTTCAACATTGGTTTTATTTATGGTAAGGATGGGGAACCCTTTTTGGGGTCAGGGCCACTGTCCCACAGAAAAATCAATTGGGGACCACACTAGTGAGAAGCAAAAATCAACCCCTCCAAAAACCTCCAACGTTCACAGATGTGGCCCCCAACTGAGACACCTTACTCCCCTGGTACTCCAGCCTCATGGGGGGGGGCGGGGGAGGAAGGGGAGAGAGGACTGAGGTTCAAGGCCTCAGGCCAGATTAACTCTTCTGGGGTTCCAGACTTAGTGGATTTTGTAGGCATGCCTTAGGCTCTGGGATAGAATAAAAAATGAGGGGTCCAGTGTGTGGGACAGAGCTGCCAATAAGTAGAATAGGAATAGGGGTGCAGAATTTGGGGGGGAGGTAGGGTACAGGAGCAAGCTGGGGGTAGGTGTCTGTCCAGAGGGCAGGAGCAAGGTGTGAGTGGGTGTCCGGCCAGAGGGGAGGGGTCAGGAGCAGTTCAGCTGGTACCTGCTAGTCTCCAGGAATGAGCATCTCTCAGGCAGGATCTGCAGGCAATGCTGGAAGAAGTGCATGTGCCTCTCCTCCAGAAATCCAGCCTCTCCTTGTCCCCCAAAGTCCGGATCCTTCACCGCCATCTTAGCCACCCCTCCACCTAGCAGCTGCACGCTCAAAGTGCATCACCAAAACACGTAGCACAGCCGAGTACACTCTCTCTGGTGATCACCAGGAAGGGGTCCACTTTCCCACAAGCCGAATCCAGCACGGAGCCTCAGGGCTTGTCCCCCACAGGAAGCCGGTGTAAGTTCTAATCTTGCGGGGGGCACAATGCTTGATCGCCAGCACACACTCCCCATAGCAGATGGGGGAGGGAAGGAGAGATTGAGCTCAAGCCATGAGCCATATATGGTTCCAAAGTGAGCCACATATGGCTTACGAGCCATACGTTGCCAACCCCTGGTTTAAGAAGAGTTGTTTTCAGATCTATACTTGAAAGCTAGTCCAACTTAAGTACTGTGTTCAGGCTTATGGGTTAATAATAAACGCTTACCATACAAACCGCAGTGATGGCAAGTAGTCACCCGAGGGGATGGCATTAACGAACTAAATAGTTTTGAATCATAGTTTACAGAGAAAATATTCTCAGGGGAATTTATCTTTTTCTGCTTTGTGAGAGGCAAGTCAGAACTGGATCTCTGTAAGAGAACACAAATCTCAAATAATGTTTGTTAATAGGAACTCAAAGCCCTAAAAGCAAATAATACTCTAATACAGAATACAAGTTGAACCTCCCTCATTTAGCACCCCCAGGACTAGGGATGTCAGATAGCGTGTAACTGAATAGTCATTAATCCCATCAAATTTTAACCTTTACACAACTATTCAATAGTCCCTGAGGGTAGGGCCAGAAGCAAAGTGCTCCCAAGCCCCACTCCCAGAGAGCCCCTTGCTACCCTGCACAGCTGCCTCTATAAGAGGCAGCAGTGCAGGGTGGCAAGCGGGAGCCAGTCTATGAGGGGAGCTGGTTTAAAAACTGGCTCCCTATGCAGACTGGCTCCTGCGGGGCAGCAGCAGCAGCCCCAGTCCGTGGGGGGCCTGAGCTCCCTGTGTACAGAGGCTGCGTCAGCATCCCAAAGAGCAGCCTCTGTCTGCGGCGAGCCGGGGCCTGCCACAGATAGAAGCTGCTCCACAGCAAGTCTCTGTTTGCAGGGGACCTGAGCTCTCTGCAGACAGAGGCTAAGCCGGCATCCCATGGAGCAGCTTCTCCCCGCCTCCCGCCCTTGCTGCTGCCTCTGATAGAGACAGAAATGCAGGAAATGGGGGGTGGAGGGGGAACAGGCAGAGCTGGTGTTCAAGGGAGCCAGCTTATAACCGATACATAGGCAGCAAGTGTGCAGGGGGTGGGAAATGCTTGTAGTTGACAAGATCAACCAATAAGCCCAGGTTTATCTGTTAATCATGTAAATGAGTACATGCTAACAATCCTAGTTCATTGGGGGAGGGATTCAGGGTGCAGGAGGAATTGGGACTCTGTCAGGAAAGCCAGGTGTTGGTGGTTAGACCTCAGCACTGGGGAGACTGAGTGCAAAGGGGGTGGGGTGGTCAGGGTGCAGCTGGCTGGGGCTCTGTAGCGTGGGAATTGGGGGGAGGGGCAACTGTTTATGAAGAGGCTGAGATCTGCGGGGTGGGGGCTCGATGAGCAGGTACTGGGTGTGAGGCTCTGATGTGCCATGTGCTGCTCGCAGGGCGGGAGGAGACGCCTTGATTGGCCTGGGGGCAGGGGAGCATGTGAAGCCTCCTCCTGCTCTGAGGAGTGTGTGGGTCTTTGAAGTGCCACGTGCTCCTGGAAGGGTGGAAGGAGGCTTCGCGTGCTTCCCCCACCCCCAAGCCCTGATTGGCCTAGGGGTGGAGAAGCATTCAAAGCCTCTTCTCGACCTGCCAGGGGCATTGATGCCTAGTGGGAAGGGGGGGCCCAAAAGGGCTCCCTCACCCCCAGACCAATCATGGTCTGGGGAAGCCCCAAATCATCCTGGCCACGCCCTTTCTGGTTTAGGCCCCGCCCCGGGCTACTTCCAAAATTTTTGAAGTGGCCCCGGCCAAAAATTATTGCCCACCGCGGTCTACATGTTGACATCCACACTCAGGACATGAGTGGTCCCAAACCAAGGAGTCTGCCAGACTAGGGGAGGTAAATGCTCCCCTTCTGGCCACCAGTCCTGACCACTACACCCACCCTTGGCTGCTGGCCCAGCCACTGGGCTCCCCACTAGTTGCTGGGGCTCTCTAATCCAGCAACATCCACGGTCCTGTTTAACCACAGATGTTGCCAGACCAGAGAGTTCCAGATTTGAGAGGTTCAACCTGAACCTACAATTCCAGGACTGCTTACCATAATAGAAAAATTACAATTTTCAAAATCCTAAAATACATGCTATTTTTTAAATAATTGCAGATTAAAAACTACAAAAATTAATTTTTCAGGAGTGAGCAAGTTTTGTTCAGTTATGGTTCTGACTACACTTTAAAGTAGCAATGAAAATTAGACATTTAAAGTATATACTTAATTTTTACAACTTATATAGAGCTGTTTCAGTTAACTAAAACTGTGGATCGCAATCATTATCTTTTAGTTAACAAGAAAAGAATGTCTGAATCAGAGAGATTGAATAAATCTTCTCACAATTCAAATGTGTCAGTTCTAAATGTGTTAATCCAGACAAGAAACTGAAACATTAAAATGTAAACTTTTTTTCACACCCCTACCAACTTTTACTGACAAAAGTGATGTTGTAGACATAGCCTTCATATGCTATTCAGCTTCGGTAAGAAATTACATAGCATTAGTAAAGAAAAAATACCAAATTTCAGATCTTACATACGAGGGCCTCAAACAGAGATTGTAGACACTTAAAAGTCAAGCTCTTACCTCAGTGCAGCATGAAGGCTGGCCTACATAGTTTTCTTCCCAATCAATGTAACTAAATCAGTTTAGTACCAATTTAACTTCAATCAGTGCGACCCACTAGTGTGAATGCTCAGTGAACAACCAAATTAAGCTAAATCAAATGAAGGCATTTTAAAATCCTATTGCAAAAATGCAATTAGAAAATGGATTTATTAATAAGTTAGAGAATGCTGTTTGTTTAGTGTGCCATTGACTATGGAGAAAAAATATATAGGGAGAAAAAAGACCAACAGAAAGCAGAGCAAGACAACAGCCACAGAAAAGTGAAACCTACAGAGGACAATTTTGAAAAATTGCTAGAATAAAAATAAAAAAATAGCCCAGAAAGAAGGCATTAAAACAAATATGTACATTTAAAAATAAGTATATCAAAGTTCTCTAACATTTGTCAGTTTTTTCAACATTTCTACATTGCATTTGATGTGCACAGAATACTCATCTGAATGAATGGCCAAATGTTATTTTTAGCTCAACACCCACCTGGGTTAAGTATGGGACAGCAACCTAGAGTTGAACAGAATAGAGGGCCTGAGTCATTCGGGGTTTTTTTTTTTTTTTTAAAACACATTTTATGCGATTCAAAAGCTTAACATTTATGATCTCTTCAGAGTCTGAACATCACTTCAGGACTCACATCGGTCTTATATTCTGACAAACTCAAGGTTTAAATTTTTTCTGAGACCTTTCTGTACCATTAGACTGCACATTTAACAAAGCTAATTATAAGATACTGTATACAATGGACAGGGAGGGAAAGTAAGCACATCTCTCACATTATGTTCTTTTTATTTTGACCAGCTCACTAACTCTGATACTGCTGGCATTGGAACGGTGATTTACTATTTTTAAAATTGAACCATAAATTGTTCTTATTAGAACACTTCATATTTGTTTCCTGATCTTTTCTTGGCAGTTTATAGACTACCAGTAACTGACAAGGAAAATTTTGCTGAGCTACTTGACATTTGTATTTAAATCTCAGTTAAATGTGCAGTCTCAAGTTTATCTTTTTAAAAGTACACAAATAAGGTTACTTATAAGCAAGGATACTGCATCTGCAAACAACAAATGAATGGTCAATTGTAAACTGACATGTGATGCCAACAAAAATAAACAGAAATGCAATCTTCTAAAAAGACATAAAATACATCCTGATCATTTGTTAACATTATACAATAACTTTGGCACAAAACCCCCATCACTTACAGCATTTTCCTCTTTATTTGAAGGTGTTAACAGCAAACTACTTCTATCAGTTATGCTTTCCACTGAGTTTCCTAAAAACAAAGAAAGGTTTATAAAAATGGTCTGATTTCATAAAAACAAGGAGTGGAATTGACTGTTTGTTCAAAAATCATGATAAAATACTATCTGATGCTAACAACAAAACGTAGATATTCCATTTCTAGAAACTAAGAACAAGGAATACAAAATCACAAATGCTACAACTTTTTGTATTATAATTGACACTTTTTTTTACACAAATCACTCTTACGAAAGATTGTTGAAACTACAAGCAACCTCATGTAATAAAAATGAGATAAGTCTATCACTTCATACAAACACAATGAATATTAAACAAAACATGCATCCTTACAATTACAGACTGTAACACTTAAGTCCACCGGTTTGTCTTTAAAAGATTATGACTCCAAACACAAAGACTTAATGGGATACCAATTTAACATTCTGAACTATTGCCAGGCCATTCAATATTATGGGAACTTTGAAACATTAGCTAAAACAATTGTTTCCAGTTTGCTGTTTAATTGCTTTGCAATTCAAAGGTATGTCTTCACCGCAGCACTAATCTAGATGATTGGTACCCAACTCTGAACATCCAGGTTTGCTAGCCTGAACGTGAGTATCCTCACAACAAAACCATACTTGCATTACTGGGTCCACACAATTCCTGCACTCACCCATGCGTCTGTAGAGGCATACCCCATGTGTTCTCTGTGTTGAGACACTCAAGGATTCTTTCCAAGGATTTTCATTTGTGGTAGAACAGGTTTGTCCTTCGGAGGGGGCAGAGGGAGAGATGGGGAAGGGGAAGGAGCCTATGGGAAGAGCACTGGAAGACTAGCAGCACTCAAGTGATTCTGCCTGCATCCTCACTAGTGAACAGGTAGATTTCAAGCCTGAATTAAACCAACCTCGGGCTGTAATTTTTCCCACCCCACCTCAGCCCCATTAGGTAAACTAGCCTGGGCTTCAAGCACCAGCAAATAAGGATCAGAAGATTTTCTGTGTATTGTAGGAAGGGGCCTGGATAAAAACTAAGTAAGAGCCAGTCAACTGTATAGCAGTCTTACATAATCCTGAAAATTAGGGTATGTCATAATCTTGTGCCAAAAAATTAAAAATTCTGCACACAATATTTTGAAATTCTGCAAAAATTTATCAATATAATCATACCAGTTTCAGTTATTTTAGTAATTTATTTCAAAATACCAGTCAACAAGATTGCCTGGAACAATACGGTCAATCAGATTCCAGCTGGATTAGAGAGTTAAAGAACTCCCCTACAACAACCCAGTTCCTGTTTCTGATGTGCTTTAGTCATACACCTCTGGTCTGAGCGTGTCATATGCTAACAGGGCACATCTTGGGGAAAACTCCTCCACACCTCTGGTCTTTTAGTTGATTTTTTTCTTTGTTTTTTTTTCAGCACTCTGTTCAAGTAGAGTTACCACATCCCAAGTTCCCAAATAGCTGACCCTGATGAGAGGAAGGTACAGTTGGGGGGAGTCCTGCAGAGATGTACATCTGTTCAGGAGAGGGATATATGAGGCTCCCACAGCCCAGATGTCCTCACACCCCTCTATTCACCCAGAGCCCAACCACAGACTCCTCTCCATGAAATTTCATTACTGGACTGCTGTAGGATGTGGTGCACCGCTCCCTCTCTCACACGTTGTGAAAGCTGGTGCAAATGGATCTCCCAGACCTGCCCCCATTCATGGCTGGGGATGAGTATCAGGATCTGCATGTTCTGGCTTTCAGGTCTCCAAGTCCCACCAGGCCAGATGCTCTAGTCATGCAGGGCCACAGTCCACATACCACCTCCCTTGGTCAGGTAGCATTAGGAACGGTCAGCCTCCCATACCTGCCATGAAGGCACACTGCAAGCTGGGCTCTGCTGAATCCAGTGGCCTCCAGCAGCTCTAAAACACCAATTCCACAAGGAAAAAATAAAATTCTGCACAGAATATTCTGTGCAAATTCTGCATTGTGCACTGATAAAATACTCCTGGGGAAATTTATATATGCTTGTTGCTGTGAAAGGTTTACACAAGCAAGGAGAAATTCTTGGTCTCAAGACCTAAAAAAAAAAAGTTATTTCAGGGAATGCTTAAATTACTGGATTACAATTTGATAGTTTCCCTTTATTTTATCCCTTAGTCAGATACATTTACAATTGCTGTGAATAACTTTTACATATACACAAGCGTACAACAAATTAATATTATCCCAGCTATTGATCTCTTTCAAACTGGAATTTCAGATTAGTGAAGAAGTTGCATAGTACATGTAAGGGCATGCTGTATAGTGCTACAAAAAGGCAAGTTCTTCATATAGCTACAGAAACTTACATTATTGAAACAAAGGTTCTCTCTCACCTGTTAGTGATCCCACATTCATCTTTGTTCCAAACACTTCCTTGTTCAAGTCATTCACCAGTCCACTCTTGCAAAGAGAGTCAGAATCTCCTGAACCATTCTCATGACTAGCAAAGAACTGTTTGGTTTGGTCACAAAATAAGCTTTTATTGGATAATCCAGAAGTTTTACCTCCAAGCTCAGGATATTTCAACCTGAACTTGGGATTGGCGTGAAGGCTTCTTAAGGATTCGTTTGGGGCTTTGGTCTCCTTGACCTTTATATGAAATCGTCGGTTCATCTTGTAAACATTCGCACCCAAATCATTTCCTGACATCCTACAAAAGTTACAATTTTGTAATTACAAAAATCTACAGGGAAAAGAAAGGTAATTAAAAGGTGTGTTAAAGTTGGATATAGTATTCAACTCTGACGTTTAAAATATTAAATATAGCTTAACTTTAATAAGCATTGTTAAAAAATTCCTTTAATTAATGAAGAAAATAAACTATAAATGATTATCCTAAAAGAAAGGAGTATTATGTTGCTTCCTTTAACATTTTAACCATTTTTTTCATTCCAGACTGACAATTTATTCATTAGTAAAGAACTCTCAGAGATATTGATGGACAGAAATAAACCTCTCAGGGAGATATCCATGTTAGTGTGTAACTTTAAAAAACTAGTAGTCCTGTAGCATCTAAAGATTAACAAATATTTATTATATATATAGTGTATCATGAGCTTCCATGGCAAAAACCACTTCCTCAGATGAGCAGTCTCTCAGAGCTATCCATATTTTAAATAAACCCATGCCTACAATAAGATGTTAACAACATAATTCTGAGAAAAACTGGAGATGTAACATTTAATTGTTATACTCCCCTGTTATTAAAGCATCAGAGATACGCAACAGAAGTCAAGAGTTGATGCATTACAAATTGAAATATTAGGAAGAAAAATCCAATTTCCATTTGGCAAGGACTATCTTGGTAGTCCAGTGTACCTGGTTCTGCTTTTCACTGTTTTAGAGGTTTGATATTTGGGACTTGTCTCCACTAGAAAGTCAGGTTGACATAAGACATCTAATGTGAACCTAACTGGGCACGTGTCTGCACTCAAATTTGTCTCCATGAGAGACAAGCATCCTGTTAGTGTTCCCTAAAGGGCACTGAACTATGACTAACACATTAAGATTGACATAGACAAGTGCAGACAGTGCATGACCTATGTTGACCTCAACAGTCCTCCAGTAGTTGTCCCACAATGCCAGTAATGGCTGTTCTAGTCACATCTGTGAATTCCTATATTTTTGAAATGCCTTTTCCCAACTGGCCAACTAGCAGCTCTTCCTTTGGGTGCACACGACTGCCCAATTGGTCATGCCACTTACACATACCTGTCTGGAGGTACTACAGCCTATGAGAAAGAGAGGCTGTAAGGGCAGAACTACAGAGAAGTTGTATAAATGTGGGCAAGAGGGTCAGACTAGTGCAGGGGTGAGAAAAAGGGCCACCATGGGCCAGATCCAGCCCCCCAAGAGGGTTGATCTGGCCTGTGGAGGCCTGCCGCTTCCCCACCCCCAGGCCAATCAGGACTTGGTGGCAGGGGGAGCACGTGAAGTTTCCTCCGCCCTGCCCTCACCCCGCAAGGAGTGTGCGGAGCTTAGAAGTGCTGTGTGCTCCTGGCAGGGAACTTTGCGCACTTCTCCCCCCTCAAGCCCTGATTGGCCTGGGGGCAGAAAGGGGAGCACACAAAAGCCACATCTACACTGAGGCTTTTGCCACAAGAGCCTATGCAAATGAAGTGCAGATTAGCACACTGTTGCGCTTCATTTGCATAGTTTATTTGGAGCCGTTTTTGTGCAAAAACAAGCAGTGTGGACGTTTTCTGTTTGCGCAAAGATCTTTTCTGCAGATCCTTATGCCTCAAAAAAGGAGGTATACTGATCTTGCAGGAAAAGGGGGAAAAATAAATTATGCAAATGAAACATGACATGTTAATCTGCATTTCATTTGCATAGGCTATTGTGGCAAAAGCCGCAATGTAGACATAGCCAAAGTCTGCTCCCGCCTCAGGGGCATGGGCGCCTAAAGGGAAATTTCTGAATTTTTTTTCTGAATTTTTGCCCCCAGCAAAAAAATATTGCCCACCCCGGCGTAGTGCCTCGTCACAAACCAACTTTTACAACTAGTTTAGGGATGGGCAAATTTTTTGGTCTGAGGCTAGAAATTGGCTGGAGGACCATGAATGTTCATAAAAGTGGGGGTTAGGGTGCTTAAGGGGTGATGGCTCCAGCTAAGAATGCAGACTCTGGGGTAGAGCCAAAAATGAGTTCAGGATGTGGGAGGGTTCTGTAGGCTGGGACTAAGAGGTTAGGAAGATATGAGAAGGCTCTCAGCCAGGATTGGGACGCTAACTGGGGTTGCAGATTCTGGGGTGAGGACTGCAAGAAGGTATGTCAGACTGGAACAGAAGGGTCTGGAGGGCAGGAGGAGATGCACCTCAGGATCACAGGATCTGGGCATCACTTACCTGAAGCAGCTCCTGTAAGCAGCAGCCCATCCATCTCCTCCACATGGAGGTAGAACAACATGGCTCTATGACAGCGATCCCCAACCATTTGGGGTTGCCGGGCGGTGAGGACTGCAAGAAGGTATGTCAGACTGGAACAGAAGGGTCTGGAGGGCAGGAGGAGATGCACCTCAGGATCACAGGATCTGGGCATCACTTACCTGAAGCAGCTCCTGTAAGCAGCAGCCCATCCATCTCCTCCACATGGAGGTAGAACAACATGGCTCTATGACAGCGATCCCCAACCATTTGGGGTTGCCGGGCGCCAGGGGGCGTGGCCGTTCGCCCGCCGGGCGCTCGGGGGCGGGGCCCCCCCTTACGCGCATTCCTGGGGCCGGCGCTCTCCCCTCA